TGTTAGTCAATTTTTGTTTATTATAATAATCATGATAATAATAGCTTAATTTACACACAAGTTAGTAAATGTCAAAAATGCAAAAGTGAAACTCAAATATTTGAACCTGGATACGCCGCTGATCAGGAAACGCTACAGGAAGGTGAAGGTATCCCAGTAACCCGCACGATCCTTAAACATTGCTTAAACCGAAGCTGTGGAAGCAGATTTGTCAACCAAGCTTGCAATAATGAAGCGTGCCGATGGTGCTATAAGGGCAGGGAGTCAACCCCAACTAGAGTGGGCTCTTGCCAATAATCAATAAGGGGGCTGGATAAAACTCACTTTCCCGGTGAGAGCGTGCAGCTCAGCTCCGCGACTGATGAGTTGGCGAATAACAGCGACATGGCCCTGGGCGGCGGCCACGTGCAACGGTGTGTACTGAGCCTTATCTCGGCAATTAACCTCAGCGCCGAATTCACAAAGTAGATCAATGATCTGAACAGGGGAAACGTGGATGAAAGTTATAGTCATGTGTGAACTGAGGGTACACGAGTGGTGTGTATGACACTTCGAGTTCTCGGAAACTATAAATGACGAGAATTGAAAATAAAGACCACCAAACGCCACGAATATTCGAAGAAAGAAATGAGTCACTTAATAAGTGAAAGCTTAGATAGTACACTGCGAAAACTTCAGAAAAGTTGTATCACATAAACTGAGACCAACAAAGAGGCGAGAGAGCTTCTGCTAAAACTGAATTTATGGGTTTTTTAAGCTGAATAATAGCGCATATAAACCAATTTTAATAAGTGTATAAATTATTTTGCAAGTGCTTTATTAAAGTCTAACAACACAATCAGTCATCGTATAATTGTCATTGTCAGCGATACTGAACATAAAATTTAAACGACCTTACTGTGGAAAAAATTTTGGAAACCTTACGAAACATCTGCTCTTTTTCTGGAGCAAAGGCTGCCCAAGTAGTTCAAATTAAATAAAAGTGCCTTTTAAATACCGGTTAAAAGTGAGTCCCTAGGCTTCAAGGTAACCAATTTGGAGCTAATGTTTACGGAATAATTTCTAGGCTTATATCCTAGGGACCTACATGACTATAAACAGAAACAATTCATTTCGGTACAGGAAAACAGATGGAAAGCGCTCAGAGTGCAACGTGCCATAATGGTAGACACTGAAAGCAAACAAAGGCAGTTCGTATGGTTATAAGTGAGTTTTTCTTCATATATATGCCGACTGCATATTTAGAAATTCACAAAAAATTAATTTTCTCGGCGTGAAATGAAGCCAATTCTAAATAAAGCCGGCTACATTGACATAAGTGAGTTTTACTTGCACACTCTCAGAGTTGCTAACTCAAAACAGGATGATAAATAGCAGACAGGCAAATAAAAAATGCTGTGCAATACGGTAAAGTTGCTAACTCACGTCAGTTAAACCACGAGAGGCCGCCCAGTGCATTGCTCGGCGGTCAGACTTATCAAACGCATTTACAGAGGCTCCGTTTGAAAGCAGTAGTCGGACCAGCTAATAAAAAGAGAATACTGATATAACTTGGCAAACGCATAAAATATAAGACAGGTTCTGAGCGGAATAAAACGGAATGCAAGGCAGCGGCTTTTGATGCCAAAAAGTACCTCAATATGACCCCCGTAGACAGCATGGTGCAGAGGTGTA